GGGTGCAAAAAAACAGCAACTCTTATATGGCTCCTATAGTGCGCCGAGGTTGGTTACAATAAAACCCCAAGCCCTGTGTGCTCATCAACAAAATAAGCAAAGCAAAGTTAGAGCCGCAGCTCAAAAACTCATAAGTCGCAGACAAAAGATGGAGATTAAGACCGGAATTTACATTTTGCTAAACAAAAACACAAAGCTCCAAGTCAACGAAGAGTGAATAGATTGGAGAGAGGAAAACAACATGCATGAGCTTGAAGCAGAGTTTAAAATTATTTTCAGTAATACCGGTTGTGACAGTACAGGAAAAATGATCTAGGACCATAATGGATATAGGAATTCTTCTGGGTGGACACAATATGATTTCTTTCTGCATTTAACACACCTTACCAGAATTTATTATTTTTTTGTGGTTAATTCAAAAATCCACATTAATCAAAATGAACTTTAACATTTTCAGAAGCTTTTTTCTGTTTTGTTTTTAACAGATCTTGTTTGTCTTTACCAAGATCCACAGCATTTTCTACCCGATGAGCAGCTACTATTACCACTTAAAACATATATTAATAATAATGTTTGTTCTAAGTAGGCTGGCACTCATCCCACATAGTTAATCTATTAAAGATGAGCTTAAAGTGCATGTGTTTGTACAAAGAAGTAGAAGAAATACACATTCTTTTTTAAAGGCCTTGTTCATCACTGTGCTTGCTTGTGGAGTTGAATGTTGGGGCTCGATTCTTTGGACAAGCAGTTTGTGACATGGAAATCTTGTCTTTTTCAATTATGTCAACAATTACTTCTCTCATATTTTTGTGTACAGACCCTTTGGGGAAGCCCAGTCATTTTCCAGCTGAGCCAGCAAAATAATCGCGCTTTATCTACATTCTAACTTTGCTTTTGTTAGAAACTGCATTGACAGGGTTTGGATTGTAGCTCGTGGTTAACACTCTGCCACCTTTTATTCAACTGTATTTCTGACATAATATTTTTTTTCCTATGTTGTTATTATTTTTTTTATCTAAATGTTCCAATGTAAGCTTTCTTTGCTTCACCGCTCTCTTTCTCTGTCGGTTTTATCAACATGGTGGTAAATAATGAATCACCCCAATAAGCTGTGCAGTAAGGACTTGGAGGCTTCATCTAGTAGCCACATAGTGTTGAGACTCCCCCATCCCATTCCTCGCAGCAATTAGAGAGAGGCCAGGAAGTGCATTGCTTTTATGATCTTATAAAGACATTAGAGACTCCACTGCACAGACCCTCAACACTTCTAGATTTACTAGTTCCACATTATCCTTTCTGTCTTTCAATTATCTTGAAAGTTAACTTGGAAACTTAGTGGGCTGCTCTCACTCTCTTTCTCTCTGTTGACTCCACATGCTGTAAATTCTTGTCTGCAAAACCACGTATGCTCTCTTTTTGAGAATCTCACGCTGATACCTCTAGTTTCAAACTGCAGTGACATTTTACACCATAAAAGCCTTTGGTGCAAACACAAATGCTATCTAGTCTTTCAGTTATATTTTAAGTTTTCATGCGTGTTCACCAGCTGTCCTGACCATGACCATTGTGCATCACTTGCTGTTTTTGTTTTCTTTCTTTGGGCATAAGCATGAAACTGACAATTACCTGCTGTGTCCGTTCAAAATTTTTCACGGAATCGATACAACATGACAAGACATTTTCATTTTCTTGTATGTGTACATTCATAAAATAAAACCTTCTGACATACTGCCAATTGAGCATTTTTTACCTCACCTCTTTCTAACTAAAGGGACGCCATTAGAGATCCAAGCTGCTTTTTGGGTCAAAGCTATCTTAGACAAACTCGTCTGCAGCTGAAACATGTCATGTCTTTAGAGGGGAAACAGGGGCGAAGAGGAAAAAGCCGAAGCATGTCTAAATATTTTCTTACATCCTCCACTGTTATCCTTCCTTTCTTCCCAAGACAACTCATGCATCCTTTGACAAGTCCCTAAAACAATGGGATTGTGCATCACGGTACAATGTATGTCTCCACTAATCCCAGGTGGTTGATGCGTGGTTCATTCATCCAATGATGAAAGAAGGCATTTCTACCTCAAAGACATTCTAAACCACTCCTATTTAAAAATATTTTTCCTAGTCTTGCTAGACAGATACAACCATCGCTCAACATCCTATAATTCTCCCAAACCATTTAATTATTTTATGGCTTTTTATAATAAAAAAAAGTGCCACGTAATAAATATACTGTGACAGACGCAATTACGTAAAAGAACATAGAGATGAAGGTTTCTTCCATTTGGATCAAACAAACAAAAAAAAAAATGAGACGACAAAAAAAGATAAAAAGAAAGAACTCAAGAGAACATAAAATCAGTCTAGACACAACAAAATTGCTGCAAAAAAATAAGTGCAAGAGATAAAGTGCAAGAAGAGAGAGGTGAGAGTGCCTATGCTGGTTTGATATAAAATGAGTTAACCTAAAATGAAATGGAGCAAACGTGGAATTGAATTTGCTCAGTCTTCTGCAGAACATGAGTGTGAGCAGCAGTTCGGATTGAAAGTTGATGATGTAATACCTGCAGCTGAAAAGCTGACATATTTAGTGGATGAATTTAACATAAAATGTCTGAATCGCCTTGGAAAAAAAGTCTGAAAATGAAGTTTTGTATTCATTGAAAGACAAATTAATGCTATAAAAACATAAGTATTACTAGTTTCTAAACTCTTAAAAACACCCGAGGAAAGGGAGAAAAATAGATGGATCGTCTCTGTGTTTAAAAACTAAAACCCCTGAAAAGCTTTGAAGAAGAATCCCATCATTGTTGTTGTAACCTGTGGGTGGAAGGTTGAGGTGGAAGAGTGTTTCATCAGAAGGGAGGATGACATGTACTGAGAAAAACAACATTGTCTTTTGCCTCTTGCTGTATCGCCTCTTTAACCATCCCCCCAATATGTGTGTGCTGGTGGCCGTTCTGCTCATGCCTGCACGGAGGAAAATGATTTACTGCTGCTTTCAGCTTCACACACAGAGTGAGAAGATTACTCATGGAGACGACACACACTTTGGGAACTGCTGAAACACAGTTAAAACAATAAGGTGGCTCCTCTGCCAGGTTCATTCCTGTGTTTTGCCTTGTGGGTATGCTGTTCTCCAAGGTAATGATTTATTTCTCCCTCTCTAAATCCCAGTATTGTTAGGCTTTCCATGCTTTAATAGGGGATGGAAGAAAACTCCTAACTATGAAACAGATTCTCCGATCATACAGGCGGGTTCACATACAACCCTGTCTCTTCAAATGATACCCAACAGATACTTCTTACCGAAAACTTTTTTTGCTTACTTTCCTAATTAAGTATCCATGACCATGGGCCACTTCATATGTAAGGATTTTGTAATTTCCAGAGAATTTTCTGTCAGTGTGGATTTAAAGTTAATCTCTTCGCATTGATTAAACCACCGGAAATATTATTTCTAGTCCTCAAAATTCCTTATCTAGAGTTTTTGCCGACAAAAATAATCCCTTCATGACTTAAACAGCTTAGATGTACTTCAACACCTTAGCCTCATTTATAATGCGTGGATGTATGAATATGCAAATGTAGTCTCCACCTCCACAGCTTTCCTAAGGGTTGCATTTACCTGCTTGACTTACAGTCTGCTCAACACTTCAGTTATATAAGTGAAGGAGGGTGAAGTGTTCATGGATGCCTTTGTGTTAGTTTATCAAAACAGAACCATCTTTTGTCTATCTCCATTTAGAAAGTTAGGGTTGAAAATATGTCTGAAAATCCAGCAAACTGTTCAGATTAATTGTGTTCTCTTGGGCTCTGAAAGCTACATTGAACTCTGGATGTAATTTTAAACATAAACCCAATTTTGTATCCAGACAAATATGAATTGTAACTGGTGAGAATGTGAGACTAAAATACACAACCTTAAGTATTTGTATAATTTGTATTTGGATACTGCAATCTGTGACTGTGATCAAAATGTGCTGCAATGCCAATCCTGTGTCAGCAGAAGGCTGAAATGTAAATATTAACAAAAAAATTAAAGATCACCCTGAGCCTTGCTAAATTAGCGCTTTGTGATTTCCCTTTCTTTATTTAGCTTTTGTTTGAACTCTAATGGAAATCGAGTCAGACCAAAGTGACACAGATAACTTAAAAAGCAAAACTACATTTGTCGTGGATTGTAGCTCAGGGCTTGTTAACGTCTACTTCATAATGTTGCAGAGATGCAGTTCACCGGAGTTGGCCACAAAGGGCATATTTGGGAAGTCTCTTCCAAAACATCTGTATCTGGATATAATATATATATTTTTTTAATATTCATGTTCGTGTTAAAAATAAATACATAAATCTCAGTCTGTGCTCTCTGGGAGCTCAGACATTAAGATTACTACTTTTTCACATGCTTCTGCAATATTTTAATTTTACAATAAAATAATTGCACACTATTCAAAGTAGCAATCATTATGTGTGAAATCCAAATCTTACCAAACTGTTCAGATTAAATATTTTCTGGACTAAGAAAATATTTAGGTAGCATGTTTTGCCGGTTGATATAAAAAAAAAAATTCACATCTTCTTATTCAGGCTTTACAGTGTTGTGGATTAGCTAATTATATGTTACAAATATTATATTTTTGATATTTACATTTTCAGTTCGTTTAAAACAGTGGGAATTCATTGTGGAAATAAACAAGGAAAGAAATACAAACTGGTTGAAAAGTGGAAGACAACCAACCATATTTATTTTTCTTTTCTTGAAGGTAAACAGGGAAACTGAGATTCAAAAAAGAGAAAGAGGTAGTGACTGGGACAGAAAATCTTATTCACCTGTTGGTTGTGGCTCAACACGAGGGAGGGACTCACACACACCATGCTCACTTAAATACTTAAAAACAGAAACATGCAGGAATGAAAACATGAAACCTGCCCCAGCTGAACACCTGACTCAGGCAACCAGGACAGAGAAATGCTTTGAGGCCAGCTATAAACTAAGCTCTCACCTCGTCTATTTCTCCTCGTAGCTCACCGCTTGAGTCAGGGGGTCTTCTGCCTCCTCTTCTCGCCTTTTGGGTGAAGGCCAACACTGTCAATTCTCTTCAGCTTCTTCCTCTTGTGTCACCTCATTTCATGGCCTGACAGAGAAAAAGACCAAAAGCGGAAAACAAATCCTTAAGAAACTCTTTAAGTGAAATGCGTTGATGTCGACAAGCACCTTGCATTGAGAGAGAAAAAACAACACATAAATTTCCTACTTAAAGAGATGGGCATAATTTAAATCTCTTATTTGCACTGCAAAAAGGAAGGCGAGACAGCTAAAAAATAATTGCAAATCAATGCAAATTCTAGGGTTTTAAGTGCTTATGGTAAAAAACATTCCCATAATGAATGATTAATATTTAGGCATCATACGACTATACAAGTGTCATTTATAGTTTGCGTAACAGTTTGGTCTTGCTACTCTGTCCGTTTCGTCTCTCTTTTCTTTTCCTAAACTGTGTTGACATGCGCAGTTTGGGCAATTTTCTCATGGCTGTAACTGCTTCGAAATAATTGACACGGTTTGTTTTGCGAGAGTGCGTGCAGGGGGCGTCTTACAGTGCACTGATGAAATTGCTAACAGCTGTGACAGCCGCCATTGAGCACACAGACCCTCCCTTTCGCCATCTCATTTGTAGCGTACAGCTGCACAGATAAAGCACGAGGGTAAAGCAAATAATGCACAATAGCCAGAAAACAATGACTCTCCTCTATCACTCACTCGCACACACTCGCTCCAAGTGATAGCGCTGCTAAAAAAGAGCATGCCAGCTGCAAGTGTGGAAAAATGACTGGCACTGCTTGTCCTCTTTATTACTGGGGGCAGCGCAGACACCCCTCCATTCATTTGAATCTCTTTTTCTTAATGATAAACCCTCCTCGGTCACACTCTCGTTGCCTGCAACCTCTCTAACCGCACCCCTCCAGTCTGGTGTCAACCCTTGAACAAGGCAGCAACAGTGCTCCTTTGTCTGTCCTCCTCCCCTCCTCTCTCCTTGCCCCCTCATCCTGCCCTGAGTGATGCTGGTTGGCGGGGACGGAGGCATGCCTCGACAGGAACGCCAGAGGAGAGGAAGGGAGGGAATGCAGGAGGAAAAATATAGGTGGAGGAAGGTCAGTGGGAGAAGAAAAAAAAGTATGGTTCTAATACTCAATTGCTGTTATTTTTCTCTCTCCTTTCTGTACTTTTCTAGTATTTACTCAGATCGAGATGAGTGCAAGCTCAGAAAGCATTTGTGGGGAAAACGAAGGTGGGTTTCAAGTGACCACACCCTCAGTGAACCCTGCGACTCCAGGCTTCCCATCACAGAAAGTAATTTCCAAAGGAATACAGCCGGTTTGGACAGAGAAGCTAATTTTAAACTCTAAAGTAAAGATGGAAAAGACGTGGGGAAGAAAAACATTCAGTCTAATTTCTTCTCTTTGAAAATGATTGATTTTATGATTGAAAAAAATAATATGAGTACGACTGGGAGTACACAACATATAATTTATCATTTATGCAAAGAAAAACACCGGGTCCGAGCCCACCAGGGTTACTCAGGACATAATTTTAGCCAATTCATTCTGGTACCACGGCGGGTCCTGCAAACCCAGCTCCCTAATAGCATAAATGCTGTTCTTGTAGTGGTGTCTGGGGAATGTCTCATTTGGTAGCGAGCGAGACCAAGAGGTAGAGCAGCACCTTTTTAGCTAAAGTACACAAACATTTTGGCAACTTGGAGGAAATAAATCGGATCATTAACCCCATGTAATCCGCAAACATTGTGTTTATTGTAAACACATTCCCAGCTTTGTGTGTGGGGCGACTGGGGTGGGGGGCACGTTAATTCACTCTGAGTTTGAGGATGTGATATATAAGTGAGCCGTGACAACGTGAGAACCATGTCTTTCAGTTTCCATGCACACGCATCTGTCATGGCTCTATGTGTGTGGAGCATGTGCTGTGATAGACAGAGAGAACATGTCATAGACAGTGAAAACGAGTGTGAAAGTGTGTGTGTTTGTGTGGCATGACTACAGTGATGCAGCTTCGTGCCTTGATCTAGACTCCTGCCTGGTTGTGACACCCGCTGCGCCTGCTTCATTAATCAATAGGACAGATGAAGACAGACTCCTGCTGCGCTCTGACGGAGAACGGTGGCTTGCATTCCCTACTGTGTGTGTTTCTGTATGCACGTAGGCTCCAATGCCTCCGGGTAGAACGTGGCAGACATGATGCGAACCTTCAAGGCTTCCTGCCCACTCAGATCATCTGCATTGTATTTGCTTTCTTGTACCTACAGAAAAAAAAAAGCAAAGAAAATATCCTTGTCTATTTGATTATTTGAACATACTTGTGTTTGCTACTGTATTAACCAGGATGGCCTGAAGCCTTGAAGTCTTCAAAAAAAAAAAAAAAAAAAGATTAAAAATTGTACTAGGATTTAACTTCTGAGTTTAGGTTCTATTTACAGAATTATGCCATTGTCTCACTTTCATGTCTAGTAGAAAACTTTTCAATAAAAATGTATAGTAAACACCAAAATCACAGTGATTATGAGGCTCGAACTTTTGTTTCCCCTTTTTGAATGTGGTAGAAGCCTTGAGAACAAGAATCAACATTTTTCATTTTAGTTATATCCTTGATTTTAAGCACAGACACATGCACACAGCTGTAATTACCTGTTCTTGGAAACACACACACACATACACAAAACTCTCGGTGTGTTTATTTAAATTCTTTTTCAAAACCTGAGCTAAAAGGAGAACATGCCTTAAGGGCTTACTGAGAAACTCTTTGTGTTCATAAGTTTATTATACCTCTTGGTACAGTCAGACCATGAAAAAATTAAATCAAAACCTAAAATAAACTCCTCCTTTCATGTGACACCAAAGAAATAAACGCTTCATAATTTCATGTTTTGAAGTATTTTGGTTGCTTAAAAAAAAAACTGGAACTGTTACAACAATCTCTCAGTCATACTTGTGCAAATTGTGACTAAAATACTGTGGCCAAATGAAAAAGAATTGAGTAATTTGCAATTGTATTAGAGTGTCTATATGTGAAACTTGCACATCATAAATTTAAATATAGCTGATTAAACAGCAGTCATCCATCTTGACACCCGTTTAACAAGTTGAAAATATTTTTACCTAATGCAACCTGAGAGAAGAATGCTATAAATCATAGGTGAGTGTGTTTTGTGAGTCCAATCAAATGTCCACTTTTAATTGAGCAAAGCCGCACTGAAAGTCAACTTTTAAGAGAGAGATAAATTAAATAATATTGTTATAAAGCAGGATAGATAGGATCTGAGGAATGGAAAAAGGTTAGAGGGCAACATTGATGTGATTTAATGCTACCCTTCTTAAATCTCATGCTGCTAACTGACAGTCAGCTGACTCGATAAAGGCTCATAAACTTTCTATATACTTACAAGGACAGGGTTGGCTGTTTGGAAACACACAATATTAAACAACTGAGAGTCATGTTTTAAAAACTGAAGTTAATACAATTGCTCTTTTTGAAGTAACACTGTTTTCAGTACTGCAGCTGTCAAGATAAGGGCAGCTGCAGTAGATGGCTGACCACACAGCTAACGTTAGGTTGTTATACTTCTGCTCCTCTATGAAAGCAGAATAGTAGAAAAGCATTCAAATTGGCAAAATAAGCACTTGAGACCTACTAAATGTATCATGTGTTTATAGTTTTTCATAGTCTATGTATGAAAATCAAAACGTATTAATAATTTGAATGGTGATTATATTCAACAGCAGCAGTAATAGTTGTTACTTTTCTGTTTTAAATAAGAATAAATATATTATGTTTTATATGTTTGTTTTCCATGTTTAAATTAAATACCATATCATATTCATTTAAGGTTAACATACTATGAGAATCTTCCAACCAGCCCATGACTACAATGCATTTAATTTTTATATATTTTTTTCTGAAAATCAAACATTAGCATTACACATAGAAAATACCCTTTGTTACATTGCAATTTATTGTGAAAATGCAGCCCTGCCATTATTAAATCATAGGGTGAAAAAAGATGCAATGACTATTACATTTTGACCATAGCAATACAAAACATTTGTGACTTGTTCTCAAGTATATTCTGGTAACAGGAAAAGAGGAATGTGTGTAATTTCCTGGGCTCTAAATGACTTGAATGCAAAGCCACTTAGGCTATTTTCTTCCTTAGAAGCTAAATCTTGCAGAACGGTTATCAGTCACTGAGAATTTTTTGCCTCCTGACTGTATTGCTACACCGTTTTGTGTGCATTCAATATAACTTGTGATACTTGGCCAGAACTCAGTGCCCTCTTTGTTAGCCATTGTGCAGTGATGAATGAATCCTTCTTCCAAATTTCATACAGAGTTGCTCTGTGCAGAGCCATAGAGACTCCTTTGAGACCAGTAAACTGATGTGCAGATGATATATGGAGACACCTATAAAAGGAATATTAGCTAGTATCAAGTTGCAAATAGCCGCTAATTTAAAGTGTATGCAATAAAATTAGAGTATTATTTCTTTATGACATTGAATAAACTGCAATTAGCTATTAAGGTTTAATTTAGTTTCGCATTTTCTAGTATATTCCCTTCTTTATCCAAGTAAAAATAGATTAATGTGAGTTAGAGAACTTTGAATTTTTTTTTTCATGTTGAAAACATAGGCTAAGAAGCACATTTGTTTGATTTATTCAAGAAACGATTAAGAGGTTTGATGGATCTCCTACTGGCAATAATACATTAGCTGTAAATATGTGACAGCAAATCATTTTGGTTTATTGATGAGTAACTCATCTGCCTGTATGATTGATTTTTCTTTTCATAAAAGCTGAGCATCACTGCAGCACAGCATAGAGTTTGTTGATTCAGTGACTCATATCAAAAGCCCATTGTTTACTCATTGGAAAAATTATACGGTTACAAAATTTCTGCGTAATTCAATTGTACTTTACTGCAGAGCTAGAAGTAATGCTGTCAAAGGAATGATGTCACTCTTAAAATAAAAAAAAACTAAAAAATAATTTAATACAATTAATAACATGCAACAATAAAATATTTGAAAGTTAAAAATTTAAAGAAGAAAAAATAAACAAA